TGCTCCAGACCCTTCCCCAGCTCTGTTGCCCTTCTCTGGACACGCTCCAGCCCCTCAATGTCCTCCCTGTAATGAGGGGCCCAGAACTGATCCCAGGATTTGAGGCACAGCCTCACCAGTGCTGAGAACAGGGGGACAATCCCTGCCCTGGTCCTGCTGGCCACACCATTGCTGGTCCAGCCTGTCCAGATCCCTCTGCAGAGCCTTCCAGCCCTCCAGCAGATCAACACTCCCACCCAACTTGATGTCTCAATCCCTTCATCCAGATCATCAATGCACATACTAAACTGGCCCAGCACTGATCCCTGGAGAACATAAGGGACAGATTGCCAGCTGGATGCAGCACCATTCACTACCACTCCCTGCCATCCAGCCAGCTTTTAACCCAGTGAACAGTGCACCAGACCAAGGCGTAAGCAGCCAGTTTCTCTAGGAGAATGCTGTAGAAATGGTGTCTAAGGGTTTACTAAAGTCTAGGTAGATTGTATAAATAGCTTTCCCCTCATCCACTAAGTGGGGTCACCTTGTTGTAAACTTAAATCAGGTTGCTCAAGCAGGACCACCTTTCATAAACTCACCCTGGCTAGGCCTGATTTCCCAGTTGTCCTGTGTGTCCCCTGTGATGGCACTCATGATGATGTGCTCTATAAGCTTCTTTAGGACCAAGACCTACAGGCCTGTTGCTCTCTGGATCCTCATCTCTTCCATTCTTGTAGAGGGGTTTCACATTTGGTAACTGGCACCTCCTCAGCCAGGACTGCCAGTGAATGATGAAAAGTGGATTGGTGAGCACTTCTGCCAGCTCCCTCAGTACCCTTGGGTGGATCCCATCCAGCCCTATAAACCTGTGTGTGTCTAAATGGTGACCAGTATCCCTTAGATCATGGGGGCTTCATTCAGTTCCCCAGCCCTGTCTTTCACCTCAGGGCACTGGGTGCCCCAACAACCACTGTTTGTATTAAAGACTAAAGCAAAGAAGGCATTAAGCACCTCAGCCTTCTCCTCACCCTTTGTCACTTCCCCCCACATCTAATAAAGGCTGCAGATTCTCCTTAGCTCTCCTGTTGTTGATGATGTATTTATAGAAACATTTTTAATTGTCTTTACTGCAGTAGCCAGATTAAGTTCTAGTTGGGTTTTGGTCCTTCTAATTTTCTCCCTGCATAACCTCACAACATCTTTGCAGTCCTCCTGAGTTGCCTGCTTCTTCTTCCAAAGGTCATAAATGCTCTTTTCATCCTCAAATTCCAGCCAAAGTTCTCTGCTCAGCCAAGCTGAACTTCTTCCCCACTGGCTCATTTTTCAGCCTACTCTCATGACTTCAGGATTTCCGTCTTGAAGAATGTCCAGCCTTCCTGGACCCCTTTGCTCTTGAGGGCTGACTGCCATGGGACTCTGTCAACCAGACTCCTAGATAGGTCAAAGTCTGCTTTTCAAAAGCCCAGTGCCTTGTTGGCCTTTACACAGATTCTTATCCATAAACACTCAACCTTATTGTTACCATCAGTAAGCTTCAGAAAATCAAAACACTCCCTAACGTACAGGGTTACCACACTGTCTCTTCTTCCTCGCCTATTCCTTCTGATCTGTGTCCTCACATATGAGAATCGAGTTTGCTCCCAAGCTTAAAAAGAGGATGTAGGGTGCTGGTGCCCATTTGGCAAGACCATGGGGTTTTTATACTTTTGTTTCTTCATTATACCTTTGTTTTTTTTCCTCTTTCACTTGCTGATTTTAAGTCAGAACTTGTTGGGAAGGGAAGATTTCAGTTTCTCATGAAGTAGAGACATGAAGAGCCAACTTTAAAAATACATTTTCTAAATATGTACTATTCACTGTTGTCCTCAGTGATTTGATTGGCAGAAATAAGAACTGCAAAAGTGGATCTTGTCAGTCATGCTTAAAGCTTCCTTAATATGGAAACAATCACCTGCCATTTCAACCATTTTCTGCAAGGGACACAATGGGATTAGTAAAATGCACACACCTGCAGTGTCAACTTATTTTCATTTTCTGGTAAAAATTTTTTTTGTGGGAATTGCAGATGTGCATGGATATGATAAGAGACCCTTCCCCGTGACACCTGAAAACCCATCCTTGCCTATATTCCATCATTTTCTGGAAAAGCTCTGCATCTATGCACACTGGCCCAGCTCTGAGTGTCTGTCTCATGAGATCCAAAGGACGAGAGTGACACAACCTCTATGTTGTGCAACACCTGCTCATTTCAGGCTCATCTTTCAGAAAGTGGCAAACATCCATAGCACTGTCTGTACTCTGAGATACACAGAGACACTCAGCAACTTTTAAAGAAGACCAAGGTGGCCTGATAATGAGGTCCCAAATTGTGTTTAGAGAATGATTCCAGAACAATCAAAACATTTTTTTTATTAAAAGACCTCTTAAGGAAGAATTTAACTGGTAGTGTTCTATGGTAAATTTAGCTACAGTGTTTCTGGGACGATATGTCCACAGAACAAGTATCCCTCATTTATCACCAGAACATCTCAATTCTGACCTGAAACACAAATTTGGTGCCACGTGTAGCAATGTGTTTGTGGTCTGTTGCAAATGCCAGACAGTGAGAAAATGTGTCAGTTTAAGGCACAGAAGTAAAAGCACAGCTTTTAAAAGCTCTGCTTCATTTTCCTTCCCTGGGAAAATAAATAATTATTCTATTTATTTTGCTTCCAAGATGGGAATAGTAAATGTATTTCTCACCTCGCTGAGTGGAAAAAAAATCACACCCAATATGGTTAAGGTGCACCCCCTTTTACAGAGCAATGTGACAACCTTGCAACTTCAACACAATATTTTTTTTCTTTAGCTGCTGCCTTCTGGGTTTTTTCTCTTTAATGTGGTTTATTCTTGAGAGATTCCTGACACATGAGCATCTTGGATTGTTTCCTACAACAGATCTCCTAAATAAAAGGAATGGGTAGGGCAATAGTGAAGCTTATTTCAAACATGGCTTTAGAGCAGCTGATTTTGCTGCCATGTGGAGGCAAATATTTGGCTGTGGAGGAAGAACATCTTAAAATGAGCTATGCTCCACGAGTGAGCAGATCAGTCCTTCCTAGAGGCCTGTGGTAATTATTTCTTGGATGATGTGAGCTGTGATTCTGCCGCGGCTGCTGCTTTTGTTTGTTTGCTTTTGCAGCGAACATGCTGCAGCTGAGATCACCTTTTCCACAGCTCAGATGCACCTCCCAGAAAGCCAGGGATATTTGTGTCCCATGATCAAGGGCAGGGCTCTCGGACAAAAACCGGAGCACAGCAGATGTTCAGACCAGGAGTCCACACAGCACTGCTTCTTTTTGACCCACCATGTGACCCTTTTAGTGACTTTCCTTTATTTTTCAGCTACTGGATGCTATGACACAAATTTCTCTGGGTGTAGTGTCACTTCCCATGACCAAAAGCCCTGCAAAAGGGGAGCCATTTGGGACAATTCCTGCACAAGTTTCCCCCACTGCTCCCCAGCTCCAGTGACAGCACCCTGTGTCTTCATACTACTTCTTGGCCTCGGCTCCCTCAGTGATCTACTAAGTGAACATAAGAAGGCATTTTCTGAGCCAAGGGTTTTCCCCTGGCAGGTTGTAGAAAGGCCCATCTGCCTCTCTTGGGGCTGGTGCTGCCTCCATCCAGCCTCCACAGCTGCGTGCAGCTTTTGCTCTGACCACAGTGATGCCACTGAAAGGGGAGGAAACCTGGCTCTAGATAGAGATGTGCAGAAAAAACCTTGCATTACACTTAAGTCCTAAAACTTGTCTGTCTGGACAAGGGCTGTAAGGCACAAAGAGGGATTGCTGCTCCCAGGGGTGGTAGGACCTCAGTCGAGGTGCAGCCAGTTTCCCTCCTGGAACAGAGATGGGAGTATGGCTCAGCTGGAGGCAGTGGGGCCGACACGCCACCCGAGCGGCCACACCGGGCACGCAGCGGGTGAGTTAAGGACATACTTTCAGCCTTAATTCTGAGTTTCCTAGGTTTTGTCAGTTTAAGCCAGATTTCTAATGTTATTTTAATGCAGTTGTTTTGTGTGTGAATAATATGCTTTCTATGCCAAACCACAAGCCCTGGAACTAATATCTCATAAAAATGCCTAGAGTCCAAAGCTAATAGCTGTAATTCAGCTGATTGAGTGATGCCTAAAAAGTTACGGATTAACGCTATTCCCCAAGGGGAAGTAAAATTAAACTCGACTTCTGAGGGGCTGGGTGTTATTTTGCACAGCGCCTTAGCCTGGGCTTGATGGATGCAGCTTGCTGCAGACCCTGGCCACTCCACAGGGCTCAGTGCCTGTGGGCAGAGGTTGGGCGTGTGGGGTGTGAGGGATTTTCATCATTTTTTCCTTTCAGAAAGCTCCCACCCTTCCAGCAGCACCGCACCCAGCGCTGTGTCACTACAGCTCATCCCCGCACAGCGCGGATGCTGCGGGCAGCGGCTCCGACGCCAGAAAGGGGCGGGGGCCGGTCCCTCGCTCCAGGCTGCTGGTGGCTGGATGAGTGGCAGCTGAGTGACATCAGGAGCTGTGCCTGCCAGGCACAGTGGGCAGGAGCTGGTGCTGGACCCCCTTAAGTGCACCTTCCCCTCCCAAAGGGTTTGGATGAGGCAAGAGTGACTTGCAGCGAGGGGACAAAGCTGTCCCTTCACGCTCTTTCCAGGCGGGGAAGTCATGCCACAGGATGTCAGTGCAGCCTGTGAGAACGCCATGCCTCCCGAAAGAAAAGGCTGTCTCCTCTCAAAAGCACACAGGAAGATCTCTTTCCCAGAATATCTTATTTAGGAAACTTGCATCACAGCAGCAAAGCAGAATGCTTATTTGGGAAAAGAAAATGAGATGTGGCCCCAAGTCAGTGCTTGCCTGTAGGCAGCATAGCAGAAAGTTTGAGGAGGCACCAGAGGCAGCTGCTGGCTCGCAGCTCCAAAGGCAGAGCGGGGTGGGCTGGAGGCCCAGCTGGTGCTTGCTGCCTGTGCCGTGTGCTCCAGAACTGCCTGTGGAGCTGTAAGGTATCAGGGATTTTCCTGTTACAACACAAAGGGATCAGCTAGATTAGCTTCTGCAGAGGTGAGAAGGAAATGTGTCATGTTGACTGTTTATTTTGCTCTAATTGGATTCAGACCCTCTTTCTGAATAAATCTCGGCTTACTCCAGCTCCTGCAGTTTTTCATGGCTGTGAATGCAGAGGAGCTGTTCCAGGGATGGGCAAGTGATTCTTGGCTTCAGTGGGGAAAGCAAAGGGATCACACTGTGGTCACTAGAGGCAGGCAGCCTGCAAACAGCACGGCTGTTTCAGGAAGCTCTCATGGTCACATCCCAGATGAGGCTTTGTGGTCATGGACAGCTTCTGGCAGCACGAGGTAAAAGCTGCTCTTTGAGCAGGGAATTTTAAGCTTTTCAGTCTTTCAGACATGACACCTACAGCTGCTCTGGGCAAGCTGCTACAGCACAACACTCCGACCTGGGGGTATGGCAGTCCTACCCATAAGAAAGCAGCACATGCCAGTCCCCTTCAACAGAGAGAGCTGCACTGTCAGCAAATCTTCTGCACTTCATCATCCTTCTCTAGCTGGTGTGGAACTCTGTAGGAAAATTATCTCGGTCTGCTGTTTTCCTTGGCCTGCTCACTCAGAAACATGGAAAGTACCTGCAGCAGGAGTGGCTTCTCAAGTTTGTCCCTTAAATCCCTGGAAACAAAATGAGCTCAGATGGAGAAGAAAGAAGGGAGAGTGTAGTTTAAGAATCCTAGGTCTGGGTAGCTGCAAGCTGCTAATCGACTTCTCTCTGTTAATCTCTCTAAACCAGCAAATACTTTTCATTTCTGTGACCCTTGCACTATGGAAACTTTTTGACATCTCTGTACTGGCCAATGTGGTTTGAATCCCTGCCTCTGAGTCACATGGGTATCAAAATCCTCAGACCAGCTGGACTAAGTAATGCTCTCTTGACGAGCACAGCAGAAACAAGACATAAATCATTAAGTCATTGACATTTTTGGGCGATGTAAATTATGCCTGTATATGCGTTACTGAGTCAAGGCTTGATTTTGAAATTCTTCCACTTATTTCTTCTTACAGGTGCAAATGCATGCTATATCAAGAAGACACATTTCTCTGGAGAGCATCTGCTCCTGCAGTTTCCAAAGACATCCTGTATTTGCAAGTGTCTCTTCTTGGACGTGAACCTGTGATTTGTCTGCGAGTTTCATTGTCTTACTGGAATTGGACATTAAAATTATCTTTTACTGTTCTTTTGGTCACATTTCTTTCTGTGACAGATTATTGTATTTTCTGCTGGCTTTGTTATTCTTTAATTGATCACTGAACGACCAAATCCAGATTCCGAGTACATTCTCTGTTTGAGGTGGGTATTGGAGTACTTTGGTATACAGATTGTCATCATTTTCAATGGCATCTTTGCCTTGATCATTTGCTCTTGCAGAACTCATTTGTTTTAGTACCTTTAGAGCCCATGGGAGGTGCTAAATAAACACTTCAAACTATAAAAAACATTACTGGCCAACTATGAGGTGGCCAGTAAAATTAAGCAGAGCAACTGTTTTTGCTTCCAATGTTGTCCTGATAGATTTACAGCAC